CAAAACCCCAAAACCCCAAAACCCCAAAACCCCAAAACCCCAAAACCCCATGATGTCATTGATGCAAATCAGAAAATTAGATTTCGAAAGATAACATATAAAGTGGATACAGTAAGGTTAACTCTATTATAATAAACTACTTATTTAATAAAATGTAATATCCTAATTTGAGGGCTTTACTGCTAGCAACTTAGCTCTTAGGCTTTGTGAATCATATTAGTGCAGCTGATAGTAAAGCTTTGACTGTTAGTTTAGGCAACTCGTAACTCACTATGGAAATGAGTGGTTAAAGTGAGATTATCTTCACTGCAGAAGTTCCTATGAAAACTTGGTTTGGCATAAGTTTTGGAGGTGGAATGGAAGGAAAGAATCTCATGATCTTCCAATCATTTGACGATGAAAATGAGCCAGTTGTCTAAAGTTTTTACTCAACTGAAACTTGGACTCCATACGATAAAGAACCTTAGTTCATATTGAATAGCAAAGTAACTAAAAATGACAAGACTAGCACAATATCATTTACAAGAAAGTTAGCACCTGATGATCCTAATGGAAAAACAATATAGATAAAGCAGGTAATTTCAAAGAATAAATTTATAATTCTTCTCACTAGGGTACTGAAATAAAGATGTCGTTCGCTTCAAATTCTAATACAAGAGAATATGATGGGAAAAAGCATAATAAAGCTGGTGACTGGTCATTTACGGTACTTGATGATGGAACTATCTTATATGGAGGGTAATCAGATTACTCTATCTATTTAACACACGGATGGCTAATGTGGGGTTCATGGGGTTTGCTAGGACTGCTTCAGATATTGACGAACAGATATTTAAAGGTATTCTGGAAAGTTAACAAAGTGGTTCACATTATATCTGGTACATCCATTCTGATCATTACAATGACGATGGGACTTTTGGCAATAAAAAAATCTGGCTGGATAATTGAAATCGGGTGGCATCATATTATGGGATTCATCACCCTTCTTGCTGTAGGTCTAATTGTGATTGGAGGCATTATGGTTGGCATAACACTCAATACCTTGAGATGGAACACTGGCTTTGTACTTAAGATGAAATTAGGTCATA